GGTTCCAAAAGCTCTCTCTCATGGGATTATCACCTAAAGGCAACCCTAAGTAGTTCAAAGGCCACCCCGAGACTTCACACCCCAGCACTTCAGCACTCTCCCTGATCTCTCCCTCCTCCAAATTCACCCCCACAACACAACTTTTCCCAAGGTTAACCTTCAATTTGGATATTTGCTCAAACAGTTGTATCACCGACTTCAAATTCCTGATAAAGCTCACATTACCGCCTTAACAAAACAGAATCATATCGTCAGCAAACTGCTAAAGGGGGGTTTCCACCCTCCCTACTCTCCAGCCTCTAATGAGCCTCTAATAAACTGCAAGTAAGTATCAACCTTTTGTTGTCATGTACAAGCAAAGGAGCCATAGTTATCTCTGATGCTATCTTAATTTTGCACATTTCCTATTGGTTAGTTGGTAACTAGATAGTTCTCAGTTCTAAGGTTGTGAACTGTGTCACCATTAGTAGTTCCAACTTTTGGGTTCACTTGAAACTTTACAAATATAAGCAAGCATAACTGAAGGACTTGCTTAATTAGGAACTTTATGATTATTTAAGTTAAAGCATGTGCTCTCTGTTTGCATAGAATCTTTTTCTTTGTTTAGTTTTTTAGTGTACATCCTATCAGCTGTTTTGCCTCATTTGACAAGTGATACAAATCTGCAGCTTTTATTAGTATCCAACTAGTCAAATGTACATTGGCCTACTACATTAATGTTTCTTGAATTCATAGGTTATTACTAGAAAAGTTTTGGTATTGAACCATCTTTTATTGTGAGTAACTTGATTTTGATGCTAAATAACGTATTGTTGATATATAGGTGGAGCTGAAAGGTTGATCGTTGATGCAGCTGTTGAACTTGCATCTCATGGACACAATGTTCATATTTTTACTGCACACCATGACAGAAGTCGATGTTTTGAGGAGACTCTTTCTGGTTAGAATCTTTTAGCTTTTATAATTGGCTTTCTTTTAAGGTGCATACAACAGAAGGCAGAGAAGAAATAAAAGACACCACAACACCTAGCCCTTCAAAAGAAAACCTGTTTACCTAGTATATTACATCCCATCCTAAAAATCAGGTTACACTTCTTATTTCTACTGTTCAGGTAGAATATTAGCTTCATGATATGGCATCTAACATACATTGTGGTCCAGGAACTTTTCCAGTTACAGTATATGGTGCTTTTCTGCCCCGGCACATCTTCTATCGGTTCCATGCCATATGTGCATACTTGCGGTGTATTTTTGTTGCCTTGTGTGTTCTATTCTTGTGGCCCTCATTCAACATTGTACTGGCAGACCAGGTTTCAGTTGTCATTCCTTTGATGAAATTAAAGAGGTCAACAAAGGTAGTTCCTCTTGTTTTTCTTTTAGTCTGTATTTTTATTCTGGAATGTTCCTCTTGGTGAATGTAACACATTTTCTCCAGGTTGTTTTCTATTGTCATTTCCCAGACTTGCTTCTGGCGCAGCACTCATCTTTTCTTAGAATGATCTATAGGAAACCAATTGACATGGTTGAAGAAACAACTACAGGTCTGACTCATCTCCCTCCTTTGTGTGTCTCCATCTTTTAGGATAATTCTCTTCAACTGCTAGCTTTCAGTATAAGCTACACTTTTTAGGCTGTCTGACTCAACCTCTTAGCAAATATGCAGGGATGGCAGATTTGATTCTTGTCAACAGCAGATTTACTGCATCCACTTTTGCCAATACATTTAAGAGTCTTAATGCTCGAGGAATTCAACCATCTGTTCTTTATCCAGCAGTCAACGTGGAGCAGTTTGATAAACCCTCTGCTTTTAAGTAACCAAAATGCTTTTATATCTCTCGGTATCTTCTAGGAATAAGCATGTTTTGTGAAAACAGTGAGATGTCTAGCTTATCACCTTGACATTGGAGGTGCAATTTGGGCCCAGCTCCACCCAAATCCAACTTACCCAGTTTTGACTTAGATTGGGTGGAATTGTAATTTTTCTTACTTTGATTGGCTTTGGAGAACACTGACAACATGACCATGTAGGGTTGGAGTTGAATTGGAACCCTGAGCAATATGGCACAGTCCAAGCTTGACCCCCATGATGTGTTATGTCTGTGTTTAAATATATAAATAGAAAGCCTGTTTTTTTGTGATTCTGAGATTGCTCTAAGTTGGTAGTAAGTGGGAGTTTAAATTTCACAAATTCATTTTAATTTGGTTTTGGTCAATAAACTATTTTAACTGGGTATAATTCATTCTTAGACAGAGTTAACCAGGATTAAATAAATGACCCTCCTTAGATTGGATGATGCTACAGGTTGACTGTCCAGTTTATGTGGTTGGTTTTGCTTTGGCTTAAGACCCAAGAAGACCTTAAGTTGCATTACTTGAAAATTTTCTCACTGCAATCTTATCTTGAGATTGGGGTTTCACAGTCTATTGCTATTATGTCCAGGTTAAACTTTCTCTCAATCAATCGTTTTGAAAGGAAAAAGAATGTTGGTTTGGCAATTTCAGCATTTGCTATGCTTCATACCCTTAAAGGAGATGTTCTCCATGGTCATAATTTGGCTGATGCTACGTTGACTATAGCAGGTAATAGCTATTATTTTGCATTACTGTTTCCATTTGTTGTACTAATTTATAGGGACAAACAAGCGTGTTTCTTCTCCTGATTGGCATTCGAAAATTTTTGGTGTATTGTGGGTAAAGGGTGTACTGCTAATTGCAGTTCACTCTTAATCGAAATCATCAACATGTATTTCAGTTGTTTTTAGATTGATGTCTAGATCTGCTAACCACACAAATGACCAATCTAATCCTATATTTTTTTGTTGGTAAAAATAAAAATTTCATTAAAAGAAAAAAGGAGTACAATTTAATCCTATATTGATAATTTATCAGGCTATTATTTTCCTTTGTTTGGGAAACTTGTCTCCAGAAATTTAATACTTGTGATCTCCTACAGAAAAAACTTTTGAGAAGACACTCCATATCTCCTCATGTTTGTATTTTATGCCTCAGCAAGGGTGAATCTGCAGATCACATCCTTCTTCACTGCAGTTTCACTCAAAGGATATGGTCCCACTTCTTGAAAATGGCAGATTATAGCTGGGCTTTTCCAAAACACATTATGGACACATTGAATCAATGGCAAGGAACAGGGCTATGCAAAAGGGGTAAAGTCTTTTGGCAATCAGTGCTACATGCAGTGTTATGGGGTGTTTGGGATGAAAGAAACAATCGCTTCTTTGACAATAAAAGCAGAACCTTGGAGGAATTAATCTCAGATATTACTTACCTTTGCATCCTTTGGACGGTGAATTCAGTTCTGTTCAAAGGACTTTCAGTCAATGTTCTTATCAGAGATGTTCACCCCTTTCTGTTTCTCTCTCATCCCCAACAAACATCCTTGAGGCATCCCGCACCCATCAGTAAAGGAGTGATAACCCTTAATTTTTACGGTTGTGCCTTAGGTAATCCTGGCCTTGCTGGTATTGGAGGTACAGTAAGGGACGAAAGGGGCAATATATGCTGGACTTTTAGTGGTCCAATCAGCTGGGCTGACTCCACAAAGGCTGAAGTGATGGCTGCTCTCACTGGAATCAGGATAATAAAAAATCTGGGAATTCAGAATTTGATCATTGCAGGTGATTCAGCAAATACGATAAATGGTTAAGAGACAGAGGGGGGCCCTTGGAGACTGAATCATTATCTGATTGAAGCTTGGGATTCTTTGGATTGTTTGAATGTTAATTTAGTTTGGATTCCTAGGGAGCACAATCATACTGCAGATGGCCTAGCTAAATTTGGTGTGTACTTGGAGCATTTGTATAGCGACAAGCTTCCTCCTTCGTAACTTGTAGGGGTTCTCCCTGTGCTTTGTATGTCTCCACTTGTTCCCCCTCTTTTTCTTAATAAATTCTGGTTAAATTTTCTCAAAAAAAAAAAAAATAATAATGGTCAGAACATGTTATTTCTATATAAATACTCATTCTTAATGGTTAACAAAGCTTGTGTGCCCAATAATTGAGAAGGGCTAGAGGCATACCAAGATGGACATGGGTTGAAGTAGTAACAAATGAGTGCTTATAATTTAAGAATGGATATGGCAAATAAACAGAACGGAATGGCAAAACAGGATTCATAAAGCCAACCCCACATAGTGAGGATAAGGCTTAGATGTTGATGATGGAGAAGTTAAAAATTGAAATAGTTTTGGTGGAAAAGAATGACATGCTTTCATAGATTTCTGGTACCTAGACAGCTGAGTATCTTAGAAAATGCTGTTTAGAATTGCAGCAAACCGCAATCACTGCATAACCAATAAGTCTCTCTCAAACCCAGACAACGTTTATAAGCCATGGAGGCTGGAACCAGCCAAGCAGAATAATTTTCAAAACCTTGTTAAAACTTAGCATGGACATTTCTACAGGTCTATCTATATTCTCTTTACTCAATAAAGCCTTTTCCCAATTATATGGAATTGGCTATATAAATCCTGTTATGCCATTTAGCTCTGTTCTATCCGCTGTTAAATTATGGGCCCTCAAGTCATTTCTCACTACTTCAACCCATGTCCTTTTTGGCCTGCCCCTAGCTCTTCTAGGCCCTTCAACTTGCAACAGATAGCTTCTTAGTTCTTACTGGTGCTATAGATGGACTTCTATGGACATGATAAAACCATCTTAATCTACTTTCCCCCTTTTTATCACTTATCAGGGCTACTACACAGATTCCCACTAACATTCTTACTAGGATAAAATGAACTTTTAAGTGCTGCATTATTAGCTGAAAACCAGGTTTAGCCAAGCATTTTGATGTAATAAAAAATGTTAGTATGATATGTCAAGTTAACCTGTTTAGTTAACTCAATTAACCATGCATTAAAGAAAAAGGTAAAAGATTATTTAGATATAGGAAGCTGTAAAGCCCAGAGAACTGATACTTGATGTGGTATGATCTAAAAGAACAATTTTCACAATTGACAATCCACTTTCTTATGTGCCAGTGTTTCAGATTCAAGTAGTGCTTAAAGGAGTGTTGTGTTACTAGTATACTAACCAAATCCCTTCCATCTTAAAATCTGAAACAATTTATATTATTAGTAGATCTAGGTGCATCTCGTCAACAGGCCTCTATATGGGATAAATCATTTGGAAGAAACCATCTTGTAAATATCATACTTCCACTATAATTTCCTTTGCCCTTCCAAGTTCCATGTAAATGCAATTGAATAGATGTATAGAGATGAAGTAGTGTTTTGAGAAACCATTTAGCACTACCAATCTTTTTTCCAATATTGTATCAGCCATATTTGTATCTGCGTTCTATATATGTTGCATTAAAATGACAAAACATCGGTCTGTATCTGGTCCACCCCTTCTGAGACCCCAGATAGTTAGGACTGACTTTGGGTAATGACCCTTATTCTATATGTTGCACTGTTTTTTTTTTTTTTTTGATAAATATCTATATGTTGCATTGTTGAATTTGTCTTCTTGCATTGTGGGTGATTGATTTTCAAGATTCTAATTTCTTTATTACAGGTGGCTTTGATAAACGTCTCAGGGAAAATGTGGAATACTTGGAGGAGCTTAAAAGATTAGCAGAAAGTGAAGGGGTGTCTAACAGGGTTAACTTCATAACATCCTGCTCAACTGCAGAAAGGAATATGCTCCTCTCCCAATGCCTATGTGTGCTTTATACTCCAAAGGTAAGAAAACATGTGATACTCTTTGGTTTATCAAATCTCGAATTAGTTGTAGTCTTCCCTTGTTACTTGTGGAAAGATTAAAAGTGTTATTGTTTAACTATTGTAGGATGAACATTTTGGCATTGTTCCTTTGGAAGCAATGGCAGCACAGAAGCCTGTTATAGCATGCAACAGTGGGGGCCCAGTGGAGACAATTAAGGATGGGATCACAGGCTTTCTCTGTGACCCAACTCCACGGGAATTCTCACTGGCGATGTTCAAGCTCATAAATGATCTCCAGATGACAGAGAGTATGGGTAGAGAAGCACGAAAACATGTCAGTGAAGTATTCTCTACCGAGGTTTTTGGCAAACATTTAAATCAATTTCTTGTTGATGTAGCTTGGGGAAAGAGTGAATAAGAAGACCATGGATGGATGGCTGTATGGCCTCCGCAAGATTTTCTATAAAAAACAATGTATTTAAAGAATCCTGGGTATGAGCTTTTTTCTTTACGAAGGATCATCTACCAGAGTCTGTTTTATGATGTTTTAAGAATGAAATTAAGAAATTCAAATGGTTGACAAGAAGTCTGTGTGTCAGAATACATTGGGTGGGGAGATTAGCAAATGCTACGGCTGACACCTGACAGTTTGGACAAGCAAGGATCAAACAGGGATTGGGAATATTTATAATCTGTTTTTGGTTTTGAATGTTTGGAGAGATCGCAGCTCATTACCTCTCCACGAAACACTTGTACCTGATTTTATCCATATTCTAATAAAATTATCTCAATTTATCAAAAAAATTATTTGTAATTTGCAAAAGCTATTTGTAGATGTTACTGTTACATTCTCCTTCCAAAGTAATTAATTGGGTTTCTATGATTCGTGTTCCATATCTCCCGTGTCTTGCTTTCCTCGTTCAATAATAGTTCTTGTTATCTCTCATTCTTAAGAGAAAAAAACAATGACTAAGAAAAAAAAGTCCGGAATCTCGTCCTCCAAAACCTCAGCCGGAGCCTTGGCTAGTCCGATGGATTGTTGGTGATGTTGGGAAGCAACAGTTGTTTCTTATTCAATCCCGTCTCCATGGAGAAAATTAATCTCCTCTCCATGTAACTGAAAGGCAATCAATTATAGCTACTGTCTTGCTAAGTGGGCTTCCTAGTGACCCAAATTGCACGATCTTGTTTTTGATAAGTTATTGCACAATCTTGTGATTCGTGCCTTAAGAGAACTCACCCTAAAAGCTAACTGTTAGAGGGAGGGAACTTAAGCACATATATGCCCCACAACAGCATCTCATACCATCGATGTGTGATACCTCATATTAGCATCCCATACTAATAATGTGGGGCAAATGGATTGTAACATACTGACATTTCACCATGCTCCGTAGTCTCATCACCCATACAGGCTGGCTTTGTACTAGTCCATTTAGTCCTAGATGAACACTACAATACCAATGTCATCACCTACGCCACACAATTGCAATTGAGAGGCATAGTATAGGCAAGGTTCAAAGAATCGGAAACGTTATGCGTATCAGAAGGGCAAATTTAAGAGACGTATCGGGATACGTCTTGGATACGCATGGATATGGACGAAAAATTAAGATACACATGAAAACACATGGAAATGCTATAAATACTCTAATAAATTATACATAAACATCAATATCACTAAATATAAGACTTAAATGAGCTATTTATACATAAAAATCACGTGTTTTGATGGGTTTTTATAAAAAAAACATATTATAATTAACAAACGGGAACAAAAACATACTATTTAATAAAATACTTAATTCAGTTCCAATCTTCCAAGTTCCAACTTCAAATTTTAAATCTATTATAATTTACAAATTCAACATTTGAATCCCATTATGATGTTTAAAAGTTAAAACTTTACATGAAGTCATGAATCACATAAAAGTTCAATTATTATATAAATTATCCAATTTTAAGTGTTAATGTGTTAGTAAATTAATTTTCAATTGTTATT